GGAAATGAAGCAGCAGACGCTCTTGCCAAGAAGGCTGCCCAAAATGAGGAAACGGAGCAGATTCAGGTGCCCCTGCCCCGGTCATGCCTAAAGAGGCAAATAGAGGAGTCCGCCATTGGAAACTGGCAGAATGAATGGGACCAAATCCCGCAAGGCCGCAGAGCATATGAGTTCCTGCCCAAGGTAGAGGTGGACTGGCTCATCTCATCGCCCTACCTCACGCGATATATAACAGGCCACGGCCCCTTTCCGACGACGTACTTTGCAGAAAGGGGTCTAGCAACAACTGATATGTGTGTTTGTGGCAACGTGGGCTCACCAGACCATTATGTCACGGAGTGCCCCTTAACAGCAGAATGGCACATAAAATTCCCAACTACCAATGTTCTGCCTTTCAAACGCCTTCTCATAAAACATCGAGGCACGCGGCAAAAGCTTAAATGCATAATGGCCAAACTAGAAAAAATGGGCATAGACCTCTGCAGGCCGGAATAGGGCACCTGCAATAAACATAAAAGCATCTTACAACTGTGAAGACTCAAGATGGTTGCAGGGCCAGGGTAATACCCGAGTAGTCATAGAAAGCCGTCCGGGTGCCCTGTCCTGCTGTCACCTGTCACCTGTGCTTAGTCGATGTCCCGATATATTACTGGACAGACGCTACTGTGGCTCTTAGCTGGATACAACGAGAGGGAAACGCGGAATTGTGAATAATAGAGTAAAGGAGACTCGGAAACTCTCCAATCAGGAATGTTGGAGACATATCCCTGGGAAATTGAATCCGGCAGATGTAGCATCTCGTGGCTGTACGCCTGAACATTTGCGGCAATGCAATTTGGTAGGGAGGGCCCCGAATTTCTGAAAAGCTCTCCGAAGGATGAATGGCCAGACTTTGAGTTTACCCCAGACGAAAATTCTGTTGCAGCAGAAATTAAGAAGAGAGTAATTGTCAATTTGAGTATAAAATTAGAAGATTCTGAGTGGTACAAACGTTTTTCGAGTTTTTCTAAAATAGTTCGAGTATTCTGCTCGGTTCTACGCTTTACTAATAAACTCCTAAAGAAGCCCTCGTATTCTACGGATACCTTAACAGTAGAAGAAAAAACTAACGCCGTAACATTTTTGTGGAGTTTAGAGCAAAGGAAGCACTTTCAAGAGAAAGGAGATTCCGTCCATGGATTATTGGTAGTGAGAGACAACGACGGAGTTCTCAGAGTTAAAACTAAAATCATTGAACGTGATGATGAATTCTGCTTCCTTTATTCCCTGTTGCTTCCGTCCAAGCATTATTTAACTGAATGCCTCATAAGAGAGTATCATGAAAAGAGCTGTCATGCGGGAGTGCAGATATTAGCTGCTAAGTTAAGAGTGCGATATTGGATCATTTCGTCGAAACGTAATATAAGATCTTGCGTAAGTCGATGTGTAGTATGTAGGAGGTTTACCGCTAATGCTTTATCTACCCCTCCGATCCAGTTACCCCTTGACAGAATAAGAGATTCGGCAGTCTTTGAAACAACTGGAGTCTATCTTTGTGGACCTTTACTTCTGAGACCAAAGAGTAAAGCTTGGATCGTCTTATTCACCTGCGCCGTATACCGGGCAATTCACCTGGAGCCTATCACCTCTCTGAGTACCGAAACGTTTCTACAGGCTCTGAGACGGTTCATTGCCAGACGAGGCCGTCCTGCGACCGTGTATTTAGATAACGGAACCAATTTTACCGGAGCAGACAATGTTCTAAGATGCCTGGATTGGAGAAAAATCACAGAAGACGAGTGTTTTCCAATAAAATGGAAATTCACCCCCCTACGGCTGCGTGGTGGGGGGTATAGTGGGAGCGCTTAGTTCGTTCCACCAAGACTCTTCTCGTGTGAATTCTAGGGAGATCGTCGGTGAATTTCGAGGAGTTACTGACCGTCCTGTGTGATGTTGAATCCGCATTAAACAACCGTCCTTTAACGTACATCTATGATGATTCGGAAGAGCTCGTACCTCTGACACCTTCCCTGTTTTTGAAAGACATAAAACAAGTGAGGGGTACCAGATCTGGATCACATCGATTCCCAGAAACTGAATGTTGCGTGTAAATTACTGCAATACGTTAAGAGACAAGAACTCTGAGAAGTCGCTTCCGCAAGGAATATCTGGCTCAACTGGTGCAGTAGGCAAGCGCTTCATGTCAAAACCGAAAGGTGGGGGACGTAGTCCTCATAGAACTAGACAATAAAAAACGTGTAATGTATGTGGCCAATGGGCAAAATTGTAAAAATATTCAGTAGTAGAGATGGGGCTACCAGAGTGGTACAGGTAAAAACAAGCAGTGGATATTTGGTAAGACCAATCAAAAAACTGTACCCACTAGAAGTTTCAACTACCAGTGATCCTGTGCTAACTGTGGCAACTGAAAACAGATCTAGATACGGTAGACTCTTAAAACCAAGGACATGCTCTTAGACATAATGTACAATATAGACGTTTTGAACTTATATCCTCTTTTCTTTAGCAATGACTTTAATTAGTAGAAGTTTATTCTTTATTGATCTCATTTTAGTATGATCTGTCATATATTGTATGTTAACCGAGTTTCTTTTATGTGTTTTCTAAACTAATACATAGTATTGTTTTGTTTTATTCGTAATGTTCGAAAATTTTGCAATGTCTGATTTTGAGAAAATCAGGGTGGGAGGATGTTGTACCTCTCATCATACAGCGAGGAAAAGTCTGGCAACAGCTGCAGGAAGAAAAACTTGGCAGTTCTGGAATGGCAACAGAGAATGATATTCTATGGATTTTAGATATTTTGATTTTGAGTCGCTGATTTTTGCGTCTTTTCCGATACTATTGCCTTACAAATTTTGATTTTTGGGTGAATGAAATGGAATCCACTGTCCCGCTGCGGATATTAGTAAAATATATTTAGAAAATTAGCTGCGTTGAAAAGGAGGAAACCCTTGTGTTTGAATTTGCGGTATTTTACCACCTGAAGTTGCGTCGAGTTCAGAATATTATACCAGACTTATTCACGCTGGTGCAGATAATTTCAATTTTTGTTATTGTGTTTATAGTGTATAACTTGTAAATATATGAATAGAATTCTATAAAATAAACATTTAAAATTCTGGAATGGTGTTTTAAAATTTAAGATGTAGAGTATTCACATTGCTATGTCGGAGCCAGTGGCAGTCAGGTGTAAAGTAAAATTCTTTTTGCTCCACGACATAACAACGAGTTTTATCGTGTCAAAGGACGGAATATTGCATTTATTGTTGGCATGGGCCTTGATCACCGTATAGATGACAGTGCGACTTTGACCAGCTCTAGTTTTTGATGAAGAGCACCCAGAGGAATGGGTCTCCAAGCTCTTTTCCCCTAACACCAATCGAGAGGACTTTCGATTTCATCGTGTATTTTAAGTGCCCCTATGCTGCAAGAACACTATATATACTATTGTGAAGATCCTTGCCATCTCTGGGTTTGAACCCGAATCTAGCGATGCAGTAACTAGAAGACCTAATCACCATATCAACCAGGCTTGTATTTCTTGTATGTAACAAGGGATTATTGGTGGATTATATTGGTGGGTGCTATTCAGATGAAAATGACAGCGCAAGAAATGTCCTATATAGGTAACTACGGTAATTCTTCGGTTAAGTAGATTCTACGAATAGAATACTCCTTCAGTTTCGATTAAAATAGAGTAATAGCATTATCTAATGTAAAGTGTCTCCAAGAAATTGCCTCTTTCAGGTAGCAGAATTTTAGTTAAGCTGAATTTTCGAATTTTCAAACTGAAAATTTTCGATAAAAAGAAGATAATTGTCTGAGATTGTATCATCTAACTCCTTTTGCATGAAAAGTGCGCTTTGTTTGAAACAATTGGTGTCTCGTAAGAAGGAGGAAGTGTTATATAAACGGCTCCGATATGTCTTCTTACCTAGAGCTGTAAGTCGAAGTTGTACCAAAGAAATTTTTGTGGCTTTATATACTATTTTTTCGTATATTATATTCTAATCATTATAATATCAGTGATAGTTTCAGCAATGAAATTTATCTATCCAATAGATCTGATGTTTTGCGTTTGGCAGTTTTCATGACCAGAAATGATACTGAATAAAGGCAAATGCAGGGTTGTTCATATTCGGGAAACATTTAAAAATTTTATAACAAATAAACCACACTACCGATACAGATTTCGTTTCATACTAAAATAAAGGCAAACTCATCATTATTATTATTTTACTAATTTCTTTCTAATCTGTGCACCTTTGCTGTTACCCTTGCAGACATCTGTGCAAATTTAATTCATCCTACACACATCCCTCTCTGCAACAGTGGATAAGAATTACAAGAGTTGCAATGATCCTGAAAATTAGCGGTAAGAGGAGGCAAAAAGGGAGTATCTTTTGCAAATATCCTATGTGAGAAAACACAGGTCATTAAATCCGAAGACCGGCGTGGTCGTTACATAATTGCGTCATCATCTCAAACAGTGCTTTTAATCCTTTTTTGTGTTAAAGTTTTTGTATTTCTGAAGTATACTCGCAAATAGAGTCTGCAGTCTTGCAAATGATCTTGCTAAAGGTATATGCGAAAGTGAGCCATTCAAATATTATATGAGAAAAAGTTAATCATCATTATTTTAATTCAACTGTGGCATCAGCCAGTTTCCCAATATGCCTAAGTAAATTTCCGAATCAGGCATAAATGTGTTATTATAATATCAAAGATGACACACTAGATGTCTAGGAAATATGTAAAAAAGAATTTAATAAGTTTATTTCAGTGTAATAAAATCTTGTATTGTTTGTGTAGTAACTTGTTTATAAATTTTCAAAATGTTTCACGGAATCATAAATAATTGCTACTTTCTTATCAGAATGAAAATAACGTTACAGTACCCATTAATAAGTTGCTAAGAATTATTTTATTTAGCCCTGAGATACATATTTCATAAAAATAATGCAAAATGTTCCTACTCAACAAATGCATTATTTCAGATAAATGCGGGCCATTTGAAAAGTACAGCAGTTGCGTCAATCCTTGCAACGACTGTGAAATAAGAGGAAATTGCCAATTTCTTGTGTGCAACGAGGGCTGCGATTGCATTGATGGATACTATAGAGATGAGAATGGCAGGTGCATAGCAGCTGCAGAATGTCCTGTTAAAAGTAAATATAATACGTCTCCTTTTAAGTAGAAACAATACACCGAAGGTTCGAATGTCTTCCACTATAACAGACTAATTGCACTGATGTAAAATTGTTAGAAATTTTATTTTATTTTTATTTCTTTAAAGTAGTACAATTTTAACAAGCTAAACTTTTAATTTGAAAAATTTTGATAAAAGAAAGAACTTGGATATTTTCTGATGGGGTACCTATGTCGTCTGATTATGCTATTGTGAATAATCCTTCCGATTTGAACATAGTTACAATCATTTCCACGAGTTCATGGTTGCGCCTGTCGTTCGCTAAGACCTTAGGTACCTTATAGATGATTATGCCCAGTTCGTTTCCATTTTGCTGGAGAACATCCCTGAGGACGGATCCAAAAGCTTTCATCTTCTCTTTCCCTACCGCTATTTTTTTTGCGGGGATGATGATTTAGGTGCTCGCATGCAGCAAAGACACTATGCAAATTTATAAACATCCTTGCCTTTTCCGGACTTGAACTGTGGCCAGAGATGTGGTAGCGCACACCGTTGACCACTGTAGTGACGCAAGACGGTTCATTTGATTATTAGTACAGCAGAAAACAAAGATATTTTCAAAGTATTACAGTAAATGATTTATTATTGTAAGATAAATGTAATGGGATATCAAAATATTTAGATGGTGATTAATTTGCTTATGCAGCTAAAGTAATTAATTCAGTCATTGTATGTAATTATGGTTAAAGTTTGTGGTATAATTTCTTAAATACAAAAAATATTAGCTAATTTTTTAAAGAGGCCGATATATGCACCATGGCATCAAAAGTGTTTGTTAAATCTCCATTCCCCCAAAAGGTTACCAAAGTTATTTAAAAATACTTCAAATATTTTATTATAAATCAGGTACTAATAGAGATAAAGATTCGAAGCTTTCAAATTTTTACCATAGATGATAAATGTTTTAACTTCGGAAAGATTACCTTTATTAACAGTTAACAGAAGCGATTATAAAAATGAAAACGCGATTGTTGCGAGTTTAGCGGAACTGGATCACAAATATCAGCTTATGGAAACTCCGAGTACCGAATATTTAATTTAATAGAAAGAAATTAGTGTTTATCTGTACGAACTCTTGAAATAATCTTAATCCCTAGCTTTGATTTAAAAGATTCTTGGACACTCGCTTCGATTTAAAAAGGTTTCAGAGAAATCTAGAAAAAGATTTCAAATATCTTTTACGAAGTTATACTCTAAAAATGAACCTGAAAATTCAAGAGTTTATGTTTTTTCTTTGCTAAATTTCGTCTGAATTTCTGGAATGAATATAGGTGCATTTTTAGGAGGAAAGTTCTTAAATTATTTCTCATTGAACGCAGATTTCGTAGCTTGTTTTAACTGATAACTTTTCATATTAATTAAAGGATTCTCTCTTTTCTTATTTATTTTATACCGAGGAGTCGAAAAATTCTTGATCCGGAAGATTGAAGAAATTTGGCAGCCTTAAAGTAGTTAACCAATCTGAACTAATTACTATTACCATAATTATTGCTATTGTAATACTGTGCCTTTTACGGAGATAACATTAACTGGTTAAATCAGGCCAAGTTAAAATAATAAAATCAATCTAAATCTAATACGGAAAATACCAAAAGGTAATATTAAGGCATTTCTAGACATCCATAAATAATCAAAAACTCAACTAAATCAAGCCCAAAGAAATCATAAAAAATAACTGCAAACCAATTTAACAATTGTGATCATAATTTCGAAGAAGTATTTTGCGTTGTGTTTTACCTGCTGGGACCGTGCTCAAGAAAAGATCTGTTAAATGACCATAACAGTACATAAAAAAACATAATACCGTATTTATGCGAATCTAATGCGCCATCGAATCTAATGCGCATCCCCATTTTAAAACTTTAAATAATAAAAAAATTGTTTGTCGGCGAATGTAATGCGCATCAATGGTATGAGGAATTTATTGAATCTTATTTTATACAAACATGGATTTGTATATAAACTACAACATAGAATTAACCTATTAGTGGGCTATTGTTATGTGAAACAATCATTGTTAATTACCACTACCGTATATACGGTACCTATCGTAAAATATGAACATGAAAATCGTAACATTTTTATAGCTATCAGTTTCTACAAACCGTGATTAATAGTAATCGTCTTTATTCACTAATGTTTTCATCACTGGAATCCTCGCAGCTCTCTTCGTCAGAAGCAGATACATTTCATCTTTCCTCATCGTCATCCTCGGCGTTCCAGAGCACGTCATCTTCACTGCCATTCAATGAATTTGAAATGCAGCATTTCTTGAAAGATTTCGCAATCATTGGATCTTCGATGCTTTTCCAGGCAGCAGAAACCCAGTGTGCAACAATGTGCGGTGCAGTACGCTGAATTTTTCCTATCGGGGTCAATTCACGGTTTGGCTCACAAAACCATTTTTCGTACTCCGCCTGAACGCACCTCTTAAAAGGTTTTTTTATACTAACGTACAGTTGTTGTAACACAGACGTCATCCCTCCAGGAATGATTACAAGATCACTGCCTAGGCTGCGCGTGTTCTTTTTCACGTCGTCGGTAGGATAACCACGAAATGCGTCCAGACAAAGCATTGATGGTGGATTGAAGAGCCCACCGGGACGGCGTTCCCATACATTTCGGAGCCAATCAAGCATTAATGATTCCGTCATCCACCCCTTCTCTTGGTTTCGAATCAGGACATCATCTGGGAACAGCTTTTCATTCTTAGGGGTTTTGGCTTGTTTTCCGTTTGAAGATTAAGAAAGGGGAAAGTTTGCACCCGTCTGCTGTTATTGCCAGCGTTGTTTTACACATCCCCAAGTTTTAATGATAACTTCCTTAGTCCCCTTCTCCATAATGGTGTAGTTATGAGGCATATCAAACCAAATTGGCGTCTCGTCAGCGTTGCCAATTTTCCCCATTGAAAAATTCTTTTCCTTCCGAAGTGTGATGACATACCGCTGAAATGTTAGTAGTTTTCCCTCAAAATCTGCAGGAAGCTTTCGGCATATTGTTGTACGGCGTCTTAGAGATAAGCCCATCCGCTTCATAAACCGATCCACCCATCCACGGCTAGCCTTAAACTCTTGTTTCGGTATTCCAAGAACTTCAGCCTCCTCTTTTGCTTTATTTCTTATGGTGTCACTAGTCACAGGTTGTTCATTTTTCCTTTCACGTACAAATTCCAAAACTTTTTCTTCAATTTTAGGGTGTCTTCCTTTGCGAGAGCCAGTGAATTTCTTTCTACTAGCTTTAGTTGCAAACAGTGCCAATTTCTGTTGCCTCCACGAGCGAACACTGCTCTCAGCTACGTTGAACTCTCTTCTGCCTTTCTATTGCCATTTTTTTCAGCATAAAGAATTACTTTACGTTTGAAAGTAGCGTCATATGACATTCTCCTCTGTTTGCCCTCCCTTTCGTGACTACGTACTCTGCAGTTTGTATCCTCTATGCAATAATGTGTCAACGATAAATGTAACGGTAAATCTAGTCGACAAATACAGTAATCCATTGTTACGATTTAAATTTGGTTGACGTCATCGGCGAACTTTGCACTCGAATCTAATGCGCCATCGAATCTAATGCGCACCCCAATTTTGAATATTACATTTGGCCAAAAACGATGCGCATTACATTCGCGTAAATACGGTAAATATTAACCATTAATAAGCAAATTTTATTTCCTCTCTAATAGACATAATATGGTACAATTATTACTACTTTCTAAAAATCCTATCCATCTCACCAATAATTATTTAAAGCTCAAGGCTATTATTCTTAATTAATAATTACTTTCTAAATATTCCAATTATTTTTCTACTTATAAATTCAATTTTCTAATTATTATTCAATTATTTTTCTACTTATAAATTCAATTTTCTAATTATTATTCAATTATTTTTCTGCTTATAATTCAATTTCTGTTAAAAAATTAAGTTATAAACAGTGAATATAATTCTATTGAAAGGAACACTATTACCATAGGTTATTAAAATAGGGAAAAAGAGTAATCAAATTCTTCTGGTCAGTAGAGTTCAGGTTTTTGTGGACTATTTTCAAATTACAATTCATTTGAAAGCTAGAGATATGCTACTATGCTATTAGGATACTTTTCTAGTTTCTAAGTATGAATAAAGAGGAAAAAACAAACATCTTGCTGGAGGTAATTTTTAAGAACTGAGCTCCTTAACGTCGGAACTGGAAACGTCGACCGTCGTAAAATGAAATACTACGATTATCAATGTAAACCAAACGTTCACTAGAAAGTCCTGCACGGTCCACGGAAAGCTCCTGGCCGAAAAATCTGATGAACTGTCCGGATTTATTCAACTCTGCAACTTGAAATGTTTCTGAAGAAACTGGCGAACCGTTCAACATGAGGATTAAATGCGAAAGAATAACATCTTCCGAATTCAACTAGGCAGGGTCAGTTCCTAACACGCGGAACACACCAATCGGATCGGGAAAAAATGTGGTTACCAATTTCGCTGGAATATATAATTATATTTTTATCAAACTGCTACAGGAAAACGTAAACAAGATTTGTAGTCGGAGCCATACATTTTCAACAGGATGCAACTGGATGAGGAACTCGCCGCGTGGAATCGCCCACAAAAAAACACCTTCTCGCAAAACATTGACAATGTTAATAAATAATTTTTCTCTTTACTTTCTCTCAGTGGATACTCATGAGATGATTTCAGTTATTTTTTCCTTTTCAGAGTGACAACCCATCTCGCACTCATCATCGAGCTACACACGTACACACTCCCTTCCTTCGAAAGAAGAAAAATAAATGACGCACTTAAGGGATACAATGCATCCTTCCTCCTCACTAGTTGAACCTAAAGTCTTAAGATTCGTTTTTTCAAGATCACAAAAATTTCCTGAAGATTCTTTCTAATCCCCCTCTAAGTATTATCATCTTAGAAGATCGCTAAAACGAGTCCGTTTTTCCAGAAGAACGCTCGGTCG